ATAGTCAATTATACATGTATAATAGTTAAATAGTGGTTCAAATAAATAAAGACAAGACTGCTTAAAAAAAAAATAAAATAAAATAAAGTATTGGCAAGATTGCTGAATTGATAATATATATATATATATAATAATTTATTTTATATAGAAAGGTCCTCCTCCTCTCTTATCTAAACTAATAGTAGCTTGTTCTGGCATATACCACTTGTATCTTGTGGGCAAAATAGTTAACAATAGAGAATCTAGAGGTTTAATATTACACAATAGTGTAGTTATAAGAAATATTACTAGTCTATTCTATATTTGTATTATTATAATATATATTATTATGTAATAGCTGTTTCTTATACAGTATTATTAAATAAAAAAATCTATGTATAACTTTTATATTTACTAAGACAATCAATTTTTGCCTTCTAAGTAAACTTGTTTGACACATAAATTTGCATGTATATATTTGTCAAATTCACCTTTTCAACTCTTTTACTAAGTGAAAAATTAAATTATCTTCATGTAAAAATTTTTTTTTAACAAAGATTTTTTATATAAAGTTAATCCAATTTTTCACTTAGTAAAAGTTTACTTTGACAAACAAATACATGCAAGTTTATGTGTCGAACATATTTACTAAGAATGCAAAGATTGTTTATCTTAATAAATAGATAAACTAAAAAATTAACATTAATACATAGTTATCTTCTTTTTTTTTTTTACCAAAATAAACTTGTTCATATAATTACATTTTTAAAATTAGGAAATTATTTCTATTTATAAAATTCCATTAAGGAATATGCATTTTTTTATGGAATTTTAAAAAAGTGTTTTTAAATTGCCTTATTTTCGATAGCTTAACCCTAAAATTTGAATGAAGTTAATATGCAAGTTGAAAATAATGTGGAGCCTAAAGTTTATAGTAAGTTTATATGTTTTTATATTATAATTTTTATTATAACTAATGCTTATATATCAACAGGGCATGACATGTTCATAAGTAAAATATTTTTTATAATAAAATCATCAAAATAATGAATTCATCTCCGCAACATGATTATATAACGATCTAACCCTTATCAACTATCCTTTAATTATAATATTTCGTTAAGTGTTTTATTGTGTAATTGAAGAGTTAGCTACAATTGGTTACATCGATGCTTGAATCACAATATGCTATGTGGATTAGACTATTCCTGCTTAATGATCGAAGCGTCTAATTGTGTGACATATCCTCTTTCTATCTGTTGACCTACCATGTCAGCTGAAATTTCAAAATTACAGTATAACCTTGATATAACGAACCTCAATATACCGAATTTGGTATTATAGCGAAGATTTTTTTTAGCTAAAATTTTTTATTACAAAAATACCTCAATATAGCGAATTTTAATTATAAAACCTTGATATACTGTATAACGAAGAAAAAATTTTTTTATTTATAATAAAATTACCTTGATATAACGAATACCTTGATAAAGCGAAATATTTTATAGTATAACGAAACTTTTGTGTAACTCTATCAATTAAATTCTTATATTGGAACACATTATATAAACCGAACGTTTTATAAATAAATATATATGTTCGTTATATCAAGGGATATTATTTGTAAACCGAATATTTTATAAAATTATATATGGATTCGTTATAGCAAGGTACCTCAATGGACCGAAACCTTGATATATCGAACCAAACACCCCAGCTCCAGAGCTTCGTTATATCGAGGTTATACTGTACTTTGAAACAGAGGAAGATCTGATTAAAGCATGAAGTTCAAGTCTGTACTACTTTAATACGAAGTTGGAGTAGAATCTTCTGGCTACAGAGATAGAAAATGGAAAGTTAACTAGTTCGAAATATTATGGTGAACAAAAGAAGCCTCTAAGTAATAGAAAGAAACTAGACTTTAATGAAACAGTTGTAAGCAAGAAATCAAGTGGTGACAGAAGGCAGAAAAGACCTGATAGCACTATTAGAGAAAGCAAGCGTCATTGTAGTAGTAAAAGGAGTTGAGTTAAACAAAGAATACCTAAAAATGAGGCAGTATACAATAAGGAGAACATAAACCCTGATGTCATGTTTTTTGCCTCAGGTTCAAAGGGTAAAGCAATAGAGAAAAGTGATAAGGTAGAGCAGTTTGATCAGAGCTACAAAGGTGTCTTTAAAAAAATATTAGCAAGACTTGACAGAATTAAGGAAAGATATATAGAGGCCGGAGACCCCAACTACTCCTAAGGGCGCTATTGGTATGCTTAAAGAAAAAGGGAGCTCATGCAATAAGTTATTAGTCCAGCAAAACGAGGCCCTCTCTAACGACATGGACATTAATATAGTAGATAATAAGATAGCAAGTGATTTTCAGTTAAGAGTAGCATGTTATAATATTAATAGTATAAGAGGTAACAAGATCAAACTAAGAGCAATATCAGAGTGTGTAAATAATGAAGAGATCGAACTTTTAGGGTTAGTAGAAACTAATGCAAGTGAGAAAGACCTTAGATTTAATATAGAAGGGATTAGTATGAGAGGTTTTTGGTCACAAGGTGAAATTTCAAAGCGCAAAGGTTCTGGTGTAGGACTATTAGTGAGTCCAAGGTGAGAAAGACATTTAGGCAAGGTTACAAGGTTTATAGAGTATTTATTAGAAGCTCGGTTCTACTTCAAGCAAGTAGTAGTTGTTGTTTTAGTAGTTTATCTCCCACCAAATGACAAGGATATAGTGAAAAAGATACAGCAAAAGATCATAACGAGTTTTATAAAGCGAACAGACAAGATGCATTTTATTATAATGGGTGATTTTAATCATATAGTTAATAGAGAATTAGATAAATCTAGTGTAGAGAATATAGCATGTTTTAAAGTATTACCACTCCATAAATAGTTCCAAAATCAGAGTTTTGTTGACACATTTAGGCTAATCAACCCAGATACTAAGAAGTTTACATGGTCTGGACAGGTAGTTGAGACAAGAATCGATCAAATCTGAGTGTCTGAAGATCTTCGATATGGTGTTTAAGATGCTAATATCTGTGAAGCAGATGTTATTACAGTGAGTGATCATGCAATAGCAATGTCGAATATCTCGCTAAAATATCTAATTAGAACTCGTAGTAAAGCAAATAAGAGGAAAAGAGAAATCTCTAGAGTTGTTTATTTGTATGATAAAGCAACAAAAGATGATTGAAAAGGTTATCAAGAAGATCTGAAGAGGTTCATTATAGGCAATCAAGCACTTGCCAAGTGTTGGGTTCCATCGACACATGACAGGCTCAATATAATATGAGATATTATATCAGGTGCAGTAAGGTGTGCTGCTAACAAGAACATTCCAAAGAAGAAATTACCTGGAGGTATGTACGAGAAAAGAAGTAAGAAAATAGCAATGAAGTTGTACAAGAATATAGCTAGATTAAGCAAAATTATTCAAAGAGTTAAAAAAGCAGTAGTATGTGAGGACATTGTTTTAGATTTAGTTTCAACTAGTGAGGAGATCAAGAGAATCAATTTTAAGCACCAGGTAGATATACCAAATATTGAGAACATTATAAGGGAAAGTAATACATTGTTAGAGTGATTGGCACGTGCGAAAGAGTGCTGGAAAGCATTGCGAGTGCAGAGAAAGTAGAGGAGGAGAAAGCCACTCGTAAAAGAATCAACATAGCAGTAGCTCATAGATACAAAAGAATTGATGATGAAGTTGGAGTAATGCTAGCAAGTATTCTTGACAAATCATTTAGAAAAATAAAGCTCGACCATATTTTAAAAAAAGATAGCAATAGATGGACTTTGTACAATGAGTCGAGTGATGTTTTGTCCAAAACTGTAGCATATTTTCAAAGTCAATTTAGAGAGAGGAAAATACTTAATGACCAAAGTGTAATCAACGAATTTTACGAACCGCTCGAGGAGGTGAAAGAAGAGTAGTATTCAGAGTTAGATAATGAAGTCACACTAGAAGAATGGTTGGATGTGATTGGAAAGACGAAAAATAAAACAGCATCTGGAGTGTTGGGAATTGGGTACATGCTAATTAAGAATGCTAGTATAGAGGTGCAGAAGATTTTTAGAAAGTTTGCAAGTTTGTGCCTAGCAAGCAGTAGCATCCCAGATAAATGGAAACTTGTACAGATATATCTAATTCCAAAAAATGAAGATTGGGGTTTCCAGTTATATAATATTAGGCCAATAGCATTGTTGGAAACCTTTAAAAAGTGTATTACTCGGCTATTAACAAGAAGAATCTCAAGGGTAATGGTAAAATATGAAGTCCTACGTGATCCAAATTACGCAAGTTTGCCGGATTGTTCGACAGAAAGTGCAATTAACCTTGTCGAAATGATAGTGGAGGATGCGCGTAAGAGCAAAAAAGAGTTATGGTTAATGCTCCAAGATATGAAGAAGGCATATGACTTGGTATCGATAAAGACACTCCATACTGTACTTAGAAGAGTAAAGCTGCCTTCCAAAATAATTAACTTTATCATTGAGCTATTTAACAAGAGAAGGGTTAAAATAATTACTGATTTTGGGTTAACTGATGAGTTTGAAGCAGGTAACAGAATCGAGCAAGGAGAGACAATATCTCCACTAGTGTGGCGGATTTTCTATAATCCCTTGTTAAGGAAAATCCAAGACAATGAAAAGCTCGGATATATAGTAAACACAAGTAAAATAGTAGATCTACAGTTAAACATAACAAGAAGAGAATCAGTAAGGCAGGCAGCGGTGGTGTTTGCTAATGACACCACATGGGTGGCAGGAAGCAAAAGCCAAGTTAAACAGATAGTCCAGACAGTGTAGCGATTTTTTAAGTTTAATGATATACAAATAAATGGAGCAAAATCAAAGCTATTGGTTTATAATACCACCTTGAACAAAAGTGAAAGATGAATTGAAGTAGATAGTCATAGAGTGCAGGCAGAGGAGAAAAAATCACTAACACGTTTGCTCGGGGTCTGGATAGACATAGAATCAAATGAGAGCCTAGTGGTTAAGAAAGTAAAGAGTATTGTTAAGCAGTTTGTAAGAACGTTGCATTTTAAAAGCTTATCAATTAGTTAGCTAATTTATGTAAATAATATGTGTATTGTGCCAAAACTAGCATATATATTACAGTCAACTAAAATCTCAAGAGCAAGTCTTGACAGAATTTATCAATCTATAATGCAAATTATCAAAAACAAGATTGGACTCTCGGCTACGGCAAACAACTATATAGTAGCACATCAAGGGTTGGTCAGATGCAAGACTCTAGGTCAAGAAATTTTTAGTAGACAATTAGTTAGCTTGCAGAATAGGTTAAACAGTCGTGATCAAGTAGGCAAGTTAACACGAATAAGGTTGAATAAGGGGTTTGCATTAGCAGGCCTTGTTAAAGAGAGTTGGCATATATCACAAAACTTGATGCTAAGAAAAGTGTGGAAAAATAACTTAGCAAGCCTAGTTCTATTAAGGGCAAGTGAGTTGGGAATCTCAGTCAGTGCAAATATAAAAAAGTAGCAAGTTTTTAGAACAGGTTCTACGATCTTTGAAGTTTTAGAAGAAGAAGTTTTCAGCAAACACTATAGCATTATAAGAAGATTCAATATGTTCTATATCAATCAGTTAATCAACGAAGCTGGTACTGAAATGATAACTTTCGGGCTTTGCGAGCAAATTCACTTAAGGGATGGAAAGCAAGGTGGTTTGGAGCCATTGAAAAGAAGATCATCAGCATTGAAACAAGTAGAGAAATAGTAGGTGCATTTAAGTTGTCAACAAGAAACGCAATATATATGCAAATCAGAGCAGAGAAGGTTTCAAATGACAAGAGACGTCATGAATGGGTGATAGTAAATAAAGAAAATAATGAGTCAATTTTGGGTAGAGTAAGGAAAAAGATGAAATCTCATTTGGTAGTTGATCACTGGAAACACGCACCAACGAGCGATAGTATGAACATTTTGTCAGAATACAACAAGTGCAGTTTTGACCAAGAATCTGAAGATGATATATGCTAGCAAAGGGTTAGTAAAAGAGAAGTATTAGGGGCAATTCCAAAATCAGGTGTAAATAGAAGTAAGAAAATACTAGTGATAATAAATGAAGTCAAAGGGTTTAAGTCGGAGGGCAATATAGTTTTAGAAAAGATTGGTAAGAGACCACTAATCGACACTATAGTTGTGTATTCATATGAAAGGAGTTTGGTTGTAAAGCAGAGTTTCGATGCTGTATTGGAGTCCTTGTTAGTATAGCAAGTAGAAATTAATTGTAGCAAGAAGAGTAGTAATTATATTTTTTATACAGATGGTTCTTTAATAAAGGATAGTTTAGGTTGTAGAATGGAAGCAAGTTGGGTATTGGTGGATAGTAGTGAAAGAGAGATGATATTAGAAGGAAAGGTTCGGGTTAGCAAATGGCCATTGTCAATGAAAGCCGAGTTAGTAGTGGTTTGGATGTTACTTTTAATGGTTAAATGTAATAGTGAAGTGGTGATTAAGCTCGATAGTGCAGCAGTGATAGCAAGTTTGTCTAATACAGCACTGTTAACTGATACGAGATTGTGGAGCAAGAGACCAAACATTGATCTGGTAATCAAGATTCTTGATATTTGTAAGTCGAAAAATATTGCACTCGATCTAGTGAAAGTGAAAGTACATAGTAATGTGAGATGGAATGAGAGGGCCGATCAGCTTGCAAAAGAAAAATCACAGTTAGATCAAGTCTCGTTATTACCAGTTGAAAACAATCATTACAAGTTATACACAGTGCGCCTAAACAACACACTATTAGAGCTAATGACAAGAAAAGTAGCTAAAACATTGCTTGGCCTCAAAACCGGTGCAGAGTGGAGAAGTTCATATGCTATACGTACATATGAAAGTAATGAAGACTCAAGTCGTGATTAGAAAGCATTATAGCGCCAAAATAGAAAAGTGACAGGAAACAAGTACAAGTCCTATATTGCAAGTAGAAGTATAGCATTTAGAATTAAGTGTATAAATGAGAATTTACCAGTGTTTTCAGTTTTGAAGAAACGTAGGCCTGACCTATATCCAGCAGATACATGTATTAGTTGTGAAGCTAAAAGCGAGACGACTGATTATTTGGTTGAATGTAGTAGTTACGATTTTTGTTGTGAAATAATTAAAGATGTAGCATGCTCAATTGTGTGGAACAAAATAGGCAGAGTGTATAAAAAGAGAGCTTCCATTGAAGTTTTCAGAAGTATAGTAGTCGGTAGTACAGTTGAGAAGAAGATAGAGCGAAGGAAAGATTATATTCGAGGGCTTATCCCAAATGAAGTAGTCAATGAACTTCTAAACCGGCAACTATCAAGTAGAGTTATAAACAAAGCTTTGTTGAAGTACAAGACAATTGTTGAAAATAGTTTTTTTGACGAGATCTGGCAAATAAGATATAGGTCCATAGTTGTCTGGAAAAAGGCAAATGGTATAAATATAGTGATGAAGCGAAATAGTTGTGTAAAGAATATTATACCTGACGGCAGAGGCAGCACTACATCTGGAGTAAGGATGAGCAAAGTTAACGTCAGTGTGAACAACAAAAGTTTTGCAGCAAATAGTGAAAGAACAGCAGAGGTAAAGCAGTTGTTTGAGGAGGGTGTTGTAGAATAGATTGAGAGTGGGTCAACCTCATTTTGGTTTAGTTCTTGATAGAGTTGACAACGTCTCTTGACTCACATGTGGGTTGGTGCGACAAGTCGTATCTGGGCGCACAATATGTAGCCGGATAATGTCGGGTTTGCAATTTTGAATTAGTTATTATTAGAATAGCTTTAAACTTTGTTTTTAGTCTAATAGTTTAATAATTTGTATTTGAGCTTCGACAAGACTGTCAAAGAATTAAAAAAAAAAAATATATATATATATATATATAAATATTACTTATTTGTATAGTTTATAATATAAACTATATAAATAAGCAATATTTTTATATATTATATAGTATAAAAACTAAATAAGCCTTAATAAGCCAATGGGAATATTAAGCAAGCCTATTTGAGCTGGCTTATTAGAAAACACTAGCATTACCAGAGTTAGAAGTCTCTATTGGCTTGAAATTAAATTATAATCAGAGGGTTTAAATGAATATTTTTGTAATTGTGTTGCAGGCATGACAAATAGTATAAAACCTTAAATTAAACACCAAAAGTACACATGTGGCTTGATTTATCCTCTTGTAACTGAAATTAAACTTCTAACAATAAACTCTCCAGACCCAAGAGATTATGCTAATACCAAAAAAATTCAATTATACAAGAATAATAACTGTATTTCAATCAAATATAGATTTAAAAATAATTATTAAAATATAGTATCTTTTATTTGTTTTTTATTATTATTTCATCAGCTAGTAAAAAATTCAACAAAAAAAATTATAAATATTAAGAATTAAGAAAAGACATAAAAAAAAAAGAAGTTTCAAAGATCAAATAATTATACAAACTTAGTTTTTGATCTTTTTAAAAATCTTGTATAAGCACTAGTCTATCGCTATTTGAAAAATCGTACAAAAAACTAAGAGGACAAATTGAGTAGTACAAATAAGTAGATTTATTTGGATGGATAAATCCAGATATTGATATGGATAAATGGATGACAGATTTATCCAGATTCAAATAAGAAAGCTTTTTTTTTTGTATTAAAGAGCTGAGTTAACAATTTTTTACAGAAGGATTTCTAAATTTCAAAATCGAAATGGCCAGAATGCATCATAGTTAGGGTTAGGATTAGCTATTCTGGTTAGCAAAAGCTATAGTAAAATTATTAGCTGGGCATTTTTTGCTTAATGAACGACTATGGTTTCATTAGTAAAATTCTTAGTGATTTTGGGCAAAATTGATCGATTCTGGCCCATCTGACCAAAGTTCTGATGCATTTTTGACCTGGAATTTTGGGATTTGCTGAGTACTATGCATAAATACTTTTTTTTTCTATGTTCAAGATACATATACAATGCAAGTCAAATCTCAAGTTTGGCTTGAGACCGGACTTTAACGACCGGGGTAAAATCGCCACCCAAAAAAGTTTCAATCATCATGTGACAAATATATCGAGTACCAAAAAGTCATTTAACTTAAATAAAAAATTTACAGACTAAAAAATAATAGCAATAAATTAATCATTTTATTATTACAAATAAACTTGATAGACGTAATATTTATTACAGTCAGAAAGTATTATTATTACGATTTTTCTAGGTATTCTATTGCCTTTTAAAATGATTATAATCCTCTTCCAATTTTTGCAATAGCTATCTATTTATTACTATTTGGATTAATCATGTTTTCTTCAATAATTTTTTTGTTGCATTCTGGATTCAGAATTATAAAACTTTTTGCTCAAATAAATAATCAGAGAATAGTCTTCCGGAAGAGCATTCAAAATAACATCTATAGGATTTTCTGTGTAATTGCATTTTCCTGATTAGTTTTTTTCTTTTTCATTTATCATTAGCGGAAATTTGATTACGGCGAGCAATGTGTATTTTTAGAATATTGTGTTATTGTAAAAGATTGCAACGATAGTTTTACATTTTGAAGAACCGAAGAAAACAAAATCATTTACTAAATCAATTAATACTTTATTAAATATTATTATCATGATGAATTAACAATACCACATGATTTTCGAAACTTTTTTGGGTGGCGATTTTACCCCGGTCTAATTACACCCGCGCGTTATTCCATCAAAAGTAATTTCTTTTATTACCCTATACATTTGTATTGAACTCCATAAAAATGTTAAGTACACCATTACAATGTTAATTTTGCTTGCAGGAGGTAAAAAAAAAATACAGTATTTTACAATAAATTCGGTAAAAACCGAGTATTTATTTTCGTCAAGAAGACGATTTAGGTGATGGTACAGTTGGATGTGGTCTTCGTTCAGATGCAGTAAAATTATTTATAGGTTGGAAAAAATATAAGGCGTACAAAGATATCAAAGGCAACCAAACATTTAACTTTAATTATAAGAATTTAACTGGCATTGGATGAACCAAGTTTACAGTGGGATTGATTTTGACTTAGAAAATAAAAGATTTAGAAAAAATGAAGAAGAAATACGTAGGAGAATAATGCATCGTGGAAAGTTTTTGTTGGCTTATTCACCTATAATCATTGGTGAAAAAGAATTACCATGTTTTTTTCAGAATTGCTTTGAAGCGCTTTCAATTTGTGAAAAAACATTTATAAGATTTAGTAAGCGAAATTGAAAAGATGGGAGAAAGTATTTTTAGAATGGTTCGAAGAATTTGGAGACAAAATTAATGAAATAAAAAATGATGTGAACTAAATGGATGTATTGATAGTACAAATGGACTTAATAGAGTAACAGAATTCGACCGATGACACAATTTTTATAAATTCATTAAAAACTTTAGTTCGAAAAAAAAAACAACCAAATATCATAAACTAATTATGAATGAATATTTAATTCAATATAATTTTATTTAACGCGATTGATCGATACAAAATTCAACGGATTATGATCATAGTTAATCTTCTTTCAAGAAAAACGATTTAACATTTATTCAAAATAATCGCATAGTAGGAAAAATAGAAATCCTTCAACAATTACGACAACATCCTTTTTTCCCTCAATATTTAGCTATTTCCAAATATTATACTTCTTAACGACACACCACCATCGCAAATTCTGAAATTTATTCATTAGCCTTGCGTTCTGCCTGACCTTTCATTTCAGTTGCCTTTCCTTCAACCGTCGATTTAGCATCGCCAAGAGTACTACCGGTGGACGTGGACTTTTTAGCTTCTCCGGCTGCCTCGTCTTTGGAACCTATTTTATAATTATATTACATACAATAAATATATAAAAAAAAAAAAATCAAAGACCATATAGAAGCTATATTAGAAAGGACAATACCTTCAGTTTTGCCCGCCGCTTTTGCAGCTTCATATTCTTTATTTTCTCCTATTAGTTAGGTTTTAAAGATCTATAGTTAATACAATAAATTTTTATATCTTGCAATATGTAAATTATATCAACATTAACCTGTCTTCTTTTCTTTGCCTTCGGCTTCCATTTTCTTGCTACCTACAACTTTACCGAGAGTTTCTTTAGCTGCGCCTCCGTAGTAATTAAGGGTAGATCCAGTCTTTGATGGTTCTGACATGTTTTCGAGAACTTACGTACAAATTTGTAATTTAAGTTGAAATTTTGTTTTTTCGTTTTTTGTTTTCAAAGAATAAAGTCGAGTATCTCAATGAAAGTGAAGTTTTAAAATTTTTAAATTTTCACTCTATTTATATTCTTTTCTTTACGATAATAATACAAAGGATTCCGACACTGAATACCTCATTTTACGTAAACATGAGGTAACTACAATTTTTTTTTATAAAAGAGTATGATGATTTAATAAGTATCCTTGGTGATTTCATCATTGCATAGCTATGAAATGTCTTGAAAGACACGACTACTGTTATTTAAATATATAGTTCTATGTTCGACCCGTGAACGTTTCTGATGATGATATTATTATGATGACATAATATCGTGAAAATATCATTATTCCATAGGCAGACGTCATTAGTAAAAATTTTAATCAGAAAAAATGTTCCGGGCACAGGACCGTGAAATATCTATTACTTAATCAATAATGATTTTTTTTTTTTAATAGTAATGACATTACTGTAAAATCACGACCATGTGAAAATTGGCCTTTTAAAATAGTAAGTTTAATTTCTGAATGGGCGTCTCGAAATAATACATCAACGAATTTACTAAGCTGGCTCTTTATTTCGAAATAATCATATGTACTGTACATACTCAAATAACGCTCAAAATACTGTACTGTATGTATTATTTTACAGTATGGTTTTATTATTATTAAACAAAAATACTTTATTAAGTGAGGCCTTTAACATCAAAAATACAGTATTCTTTACTTCGATCTCAATATTATCAGGTAAGTACAGAAGTCATTGATCTATTCTCGTGACTTCGGTTTAGAATTGCTTTGAGACGATCTACCGATACAGCATCCACATGATTTATCTTTTCTTATCGACACAGCAATTGACATTTCTTTATCCAATCTAATCAATTTCTTGATAGAATTATTTTCATGTCAACTTTTGCTGTGCCGATAAGGGAGATAAATCATGTGGATGCTGTGTCGGTAGATAATTAAATTACACAATTTTTAAAACAAACTTCTTGTAAAGAAGTTATAAATTAATAGATATATCAAAAGAATTAATTTATTGCAATATATTAAGGACATAAAGTGAGTATTCACTATTAATAAACCTAAACTCATAAATACAATTTATACAACGATTAACACAACGCAAGAACTGATACGTATATTTAGGGTGCTCTCAAGCATCTATCTCTATGTGATTATTAGAAATCGTGCACAAAATACTACGATTAATTTAAGTAATCTTTACGATAATTTTGTTAAATATTTATGTTGTAAATGCGGATATTAAAAATTTTAGCCACTTTATGATAAAAAAGATGGTCAGACCTTTTTTTTCATCGACTCACTTAATCTGCTAAGCTATTTTCCACTATATAATTAAAATCTATGAATTTAGGTGCTTGAGAGCACCCTTAATCTTCTAGGCAAAGTTTGTCGGGAGTAGGATTTTTTTTTTTAAATACCTTGCACACTGATTATTGACATTTCTTTCTAAAGCTATGAATGATTAGTAAAATTTTGGGTTACTAAAAAGTACTTTAAAGTGTATAAATAAGTAACCCGAGCAAGATTTACATTAGCAAATCAAACGAATTCTTCTTTTTGACTTTTTTTGTACATCGACACATGCGTTAACTTCAATAACGCCAATAAAAAAAACGCGAGCGTGATTAAAGAATCATTTCTATAATATACATTATGTGCTAATTTCCTTGTTTGGCTATCGATTTAAATAAAAAAAAAAACTTACTACGTATTTATTTGATATACATACCTGATACGTACTTATTTGATATACATACGTACTTATACGTATCTTGATTTTATCTGATTTATTCTTGGTTCTGTCTATAATATGAATTTCTATTTTAAAAATTCACACAAAATGAGGCTTGTATAACTGGGTCTACTTTATTATCAGTTATATATAAATTGGAATTGATCTACAAATAATCGTTATTTGTAGATGTCATGCTCTTTACATAATAGGGCTATAACAGATTTTATTTCTCGTATGTTAAATCCTAAAGTTAAAATACCATGAATGGGTACACGAAGAGTGTGGCTTAATGGCGGGCGCAATTCTCAGCATCTAATTGGATAACCTTTCCCCGTTACTTTATCTTATAATTTTTGTATATTTGTATGTCATATGAGGTTTTTTTATGTCATTATATTATGTGTAAATTCAAGATGCTGTTCAATAGTGTAATAAAAATAAATAATAAGACCCGATAGACAAATCGAGAATTATACTACAGTATAATATTTTGATTATGATAAAAGCTATACCGATTTTTAATTAGACATCGCAGTGACATCGAGTGTTCTATGAAGCATTGTAATAAGTTAAATTTCCTTGTTTAGTTATCGATTTAAATGCTAAACTTACTATTTATTATCATAGGTTTAGATTTGATATATGCGGTTTATTACCTGATTTATTCACGGCTCATCTAGTCAAGCTTAGATCTGACTAAAGATGCGATCAAGTTTAATGTCAGAAAATTTTCAAGGGTAAATTGCAGAAAATATCGATCTACAGTGAAAACCTCTCTAAGTGCACGCCCTTGGGACCGGAATATTAGACAGAATTAGTATTTCTTCCCTACTCTACTACTACAATCAATAGTATCCCGAGTTTTTTCCGATGACTATGCTCTTCTTTGTGTTGATTTTATCTACCCCTACGAGGATATCCGACAAATTTACCATTTTAATTGGTAAAACGTTTATGTTAGTCATGTGTGTGCATTTATAGAGGTTGCACGTATAGGTCCGGGCTTTAAAATCCAGAGGTTGAAGGGCGCACTTAGCATTAAGTCCCAAGCTTGGGACTGGGCTATAGTGTGCATTTAAAGAGGGTGTGCACTTAGGGAGGGTGTATTTAGAGAGGTTTCACTGTATATGTTTTGTGAAAAAAGACAGTGTTTACTTCTAGGTAAACATTTGTATCTTACAATATAATTAGTATTCTTTATTATAAATTTTTTTTGTTATTTCATATTTTTATACTATCTATTTTTATTTCCTTTTACGCCAAAACTTTTGAAGTATCTTACTTTGAAAATAGACTATCGACGAAATCAAACTCGAAATTTGATTGGTTGGCACTCACGTTACCTTTGCTATTTTTATTGAATATAGATAGAATTGTTATAACATATTTAAAGACTTAAATTGAATTCGCTTTCAAGACACGTTCGAACTCAATCATTGCTTAGAAGTTTTTTTTTTTTACGTATTTTAATATGTCTCTTGATAATGGCTAAATGGTATTAAATTTCATTTAGAAAATGCAGAGGCTAACTTTGCTTCGTTCTTATTTTTAACTAGATGTTATCTTAAGGATTGATTATAAAATATCGATCACAGTTCCGAGATAAAATGAGATGTTGATTTTGATTATATAAACTAATTAGTTTGTTACCGTTGTTTGCATTTATGTCAAAGTTTTTGATATGCTTAAGTATTTTTAGTTCCGTTAAA